AGTGCATTTTTACTATCTACATGATATACATGGCAAAGTTATTTTATTACTTTGTGTTGATAATATAAAGATCACATAGAATTCAGTGGATTTATAATTGAGCTTAAAAAACAACTCCACGTCAAAAAATTTATGACAGACTTAGATCCTATATATTGATTCTTTAGCATAGAATATACTAAAGATAATATAAGACTTTTACTACATCAAATATAGTATGTTTATCAATTTTTCAAAGAATTTAAGATAGAAGCATTCAACCTTTTATACATCCCATTCAACAAAAGAGTCAAACTGCATAGAGATATCAATACTTTGCAATATCACATAAATATATATTGTGCTATGATTGATCAACTCTATTAGTTGATTAAAACTTGTCCTAATATAATTTTTGTTGTTAGTTCCTATTACCACAACATAAATGTTTCATAACAAATACATCTTTAAGTTGCTTATAGCATTTGATATTACATCTATAAATATCTTTTTTTCAACTTTTTTTATAAAGTTGAGAAAAAAAGTTACCTTTTGAATTTTTTGGATGTAGAATTTATACAAGATCCTAACAATCACATCTCTATATTAGTATACTTATTCTTTCTTCAAATCATGCTTATCTCATAGAATTCATATAATCAAACATCAATAATAAGATCATCATATAAATCCAAATATTGTGTAATCTTAAATAATACATATGAAGTAATATAGCTATAAAGATTATTAAAAGAATTTTATATCTTAAATATAAGACCAATCATCTTAAGATAAAATAACTAATGCATAATTAAGATTTCATACAATCATATATTCTAAGGTAAAATAATTTAAAATTAATTAACAATTAATAAGAAAAAAATAGATTCAAATATAATCAAAGTAATTTATATAAATATTCAAGAACAATCTATGCTAATCAAAGTATTGAAATTTTCCAAGTTTAAACTTGATATCGGCAAACTTAGTCTATAAAGTCTAGATCAATATTAATTACTTAAAAAAAAAATTACAGCTATTATATTTTTTAAAACCTTCAAATGAGCGCCTCCAAAAACCTATTCATGGTTCTTTGTGTTAAAGAAGCTAATTTATTTTACATCATAATGTTGCAAGAAGTGTAACAATAAGAAAAAATAAGGATTGTACTTCAAATTAAATATTTATTAGGAATATATTTTTAAAATATAAATTAATAGATTATAGAATAAATAGATGAAAAAATAGGAATAGAGAGATATTCCAACACCTCCTATTAGACATAGTTTTTGTCATCTTGTTTGGCTATTAAGAGATCATAGACAAGATTTGACAATTGCAAGAAGAAAGCCTTATGTATTTGCTCTTGTTGATCTTTTAGACTAACTTGATAAATATTTGACATATTTTTGAATGATTGGAGCATAGAAACAAGGCTTATTGGATCTCCAAACTTAAGGTGGATGAAGATATTAGAAAAATACAAGCCCTCTTTGACACTATGGAAACATTTATAATAAGTCTTGTCAAATTATTATTACAGCCTAATTCAAATTGGGTACAATTTAAAGGTTTAATTAGCATATTTATAGATTATTCTTAAATATTTGTATAGACTACTTTGATTATACATGAATCGATTTTTTACCTAATAAAGTACCAATTAATTTGAAAATATTTTGTCTTTTCATGAAATATGGAATTATGGGATGTTTTAATTCAACTTTGATTTTTGCACTTTAAGATGGTTGGTTCTAAACCTAAAGCTTGGAATTTTTATAATAGTTGATGCAATCATATAGCTTCACATGTATAATTTGTCAATACACAATATTTAGATTTATATAATAATCTTATTGTTGAGGTATGTTTGCAAGAGCTCTATGAGATGGGTGTACTTTTTATACAGAATAGGTATGTAGATGTAGAAATGCAATCATTGGAATCATATATAAAATTTACATTTGAAAAGCCCGAAAGATGATTCTCATTCTCAACTTTATAGAAGATATTAAATGAGGAATGTTGGCATACAAAGCTCAAAATTATTTATTCAATCTAGAAATAGATTTGCTACAAGACAGTTATAAAATAATGACAAAGACCAATGGCAAAAGCTAAATCCGAGCAGGATTTGATTAACTAGTAAAGGTAGCTTACCATAACTTCATATAGAGAGGCATTGTAAGGTACAATGTCAATATTACTGCAAAATTTGTTGTCTTTATTGAATACTATGTAGACAAAATTAGAAGCTTTATGCTAAAGTTCTTTAGAAGTTGATGAGTATATGCAATCTAATAGAGAAGGAGATTGTGTGTACTATGGATGTCTTCAACTTCACAGAATTGGCAAATAGGCCCAAGATTTGTCATGGCAAAATCATAATAAAGTTTTTTTTTTGAATTCACCAATGAATATAAGTAAACTATCTATAATTTTGATATTATCAGTATAGATTTTTAATTCCATATATTTGTAGCATGGTAGCTTATCACCATTAAGTGTCATCTTTTTGAGAGATTTTTGATTGTGGCTCAAACAACATCATCCATGGATAGATCTATTTTGACTTCTTCTAATAGGTTGACTACTTCTTTCACAACCATCAAGAAATTATCCATGCTAGTACTATCATTTTTTTACATCATGAAGAACTTCTCTACTAGCAAGTGACTTTGAGGTCTATTGAATGCTTCATGCCTTTACTTGATTTTTGTCCAATACAGATGTACCTCTTTGTTTTGCATAACAGCACACAAAAGTGTATGTCGCACCTTGGATTAAGTACTTATTAGGAAGTTGTTCATAGAAACTAAACTAACAGACTATGGAGTGGGTGGATGAGAAGAGTAGGGGTGGACAGATGTTCCAACACTCTGAAGACGCACAAGAAGAGCAAGCTGTGACCAAGGTGTTGAAACCAATGTTCACACCCTACCCTTCTCATCCCCGTTAACGCAGTCTGTTACATTTGTCGTTTGGCATTTCGTTTATGAGTATTTAGCTCGAGGCTCTATGCTTCTGTTAAGTGTGCTGTTATGCTACCCGCAGTGGTACTGTGAGTTGGTTTTATTAAGCGCATTATAGTCGATGGTCTTTGAGAACCAAACTGGAAAGGGCAGGGCGCCTTGGATGTTGATGCACCTAAAGGAGAATTAAGTTGATGTGAGGACACTTGCATGCGACGTTGATGGAAGCAACTTCTCTTCTTTTTTTCAATATTCATTGAAAGTGTGCACTCATGGTCAGAAGGCGCAGATGATGTTGGATGTCCTACAAGGTTAAACCACTCTGTCAAACTTATTATTTCTTCGGTGCGAGCCCAAAAATCTAAGGCACCGTCCAATCGATACCTCGTCAATCGAACAAGGGAAGGTAAGGGTTGGTGTGGTCCAAATCTACTTCAGTCAGGGTTCAGAAAGAGAATGAGGATGACCAGGAGATTGATAAGGCTGAAAGTAAGGTACCTTTAAATTCTGGTGCAACGTCTACAAATTCGTCTTTGCATTCTGTGCCCAGTAGAATGAGATCAAAACCAATTTGCAGCATGTTATTGGTTTTTTCACGTTCAGGGTCTATCGACATTCTTGTGTGAATAATTAGCAGATTTTGTATACCTCGTGAGCAATAAGCTACGCAAAATTATCTCGCCGTGTAAAACTTTAGTTAGTGTTTAGAGACTGTTCACGAGAGCAGATTTTGATGTACACATTTACTGACTGACGAACTCTCACAACCTTCCCTTTTTTTTATCCGCTCGTAGCTCTAATTTGCATATAGCGGAGGGCCAGAGCGATCTGTTTAATCAGATTCTCTAGAGATCTATGTGTGGTGCACAGTATTCATAAGCACTAATCGAGTTTGCGTGGTTTGTGACTCATCTTCGTGAGTTTTCCTTCTACTTGTGGCGCCTGGTTTGTGGGCTGCAGAATTATGGACTTTTTCTGTTCAGAGGGCAAATCTATTGTGCCGAATCCTAGTGGTTGCATTTGTGTGGATTTCTCTGTTCTTGGGGATCAGTGTGGCAAAGAATGAGCCCGGTGGAGGGATTTCAGTCCGAAGAGGGCCTCGCACTGAACCTTTTCAGACAAGAAGTCTACACCGACTTGTCACTACACGATGAGGACCAGAGGAATTCGAATCCGTGGTCAACCCCTCAATTGGCAACATCATCAATGTGTTCGATGCAAATGGATATGTCAAAGTAAAATCAGGTTGAGCAATCACATACGCAGCAATTTTCAACATTATATTTGAGCCACCCATTCTCCATTTCTAAGAAGTGATTAGGAACATTTCAACGCTGCTTGCAAGATTCATCTGGGGATTGTCGACTTCTGTCGGAGAGGTTGTCGATGGATATTGAGCGTCTGTAAACATGATTTTGTCGCAAGTTAAACTGTGACAAAATTGGGTTACATGAGTTGCTTTTCTGGGCATACACTGCATATTGCGGCATTCAGCATTAGGTAAGACATTGTGAGACTGAGGACCAAATATGTATACTTGACGACATTACTAGCCTTATCAACATGTCACCTAGATGTGTTGGTTACTTGGCTCTATGCCTTGATTAATGTAGAGAATAATTCCAAGATTCGAAGATCAAAAAACGGAATCTCTTCACCGATCTCCAGGCAATGCGGTGATATTTTTTCATGAATTGGATCTCTAACTTCGAGGACACAACCTAAGTAGCCGCTGCTGTAAAAGGACCATGCGAGGATGGGAGTTTATTATGCTAAGTGATTGGGAATATGCTTGAATGCACCTCATTTTCAACTGTGGAACATGCTGGGGATTACAGCAAGATGCCTCCGCTATTGCAGACGTATTTATTTTGAGATGTTTTTCTTTGTTCTTTCCATTTTCATATCCTTCGAGACTGAGGTGCGGCACAAAACCTCGTCATTGACAATCAATCGCACTCCACACCGCATCCAAGTTCATCGCGATCTTGAAGATACAGTTCAACAGCACTTAAACCAGCATTTGAGTAGGATGTGTAAAACCATGCATAGTATCAAAGAGTAATGAACGTGGCCATGTCATTTCTTTGACGAAGCGTTAAAATTGCTGGCCTCTCATACCAACCTTCCGTACACGAATTCTACATTGACTTGACCCGTTTGACAGGTACCGTTGGTCAAACCTATCGCTACTTCGGCAGGGAGTGCGTTACAGGTAAAATACCCTCGCCCTATGGCTGAACGAAGTGAAAGTAGAGCCAAATTTCGGCAACATCTTAGCCTAGTCAACAACTAAAGGCTCGGCAAGAGCCATCAAAATCTCTTTTGCACTTCACCTAACGAATATCTTATGGGTGGTATTTGAAATCCATACAATATGGCATAATTGTTGAGAGTCATTTCATGTATTCTAATCAAGAACCATCGTCAACATGAGAAAAGAAAACATCGGCAATAGCATGTTACACGAATGTCTGCCTCTATTTCTTTAGAGCTTCTGGGGTTTTGACGAAACCCAACAGCGGATAGATACTAGCTGCGTCCTAGTATGTCGATATGACATACATGGGTGATAAGAAATGTTTGTCTTATAAGCATTCAGTTCTCTATGAGAAAGAACTAAGCATCTCGCGGGTACGAATTCACGAAGAAGCAGGAGCAAGAGTTTACTTGATTTGTTTTTATGGACCACAAGAGGTTTTCGAAGTACGTAACGTCGCAAGCGATCGGCAACCCTCCTTTGTGCTCAAATCCATACTCCTCAGCAGACTTCTCCAGTAAAGCCTTGAACATTTGGTGCTTCAGGTAATCTGCACTGATGACAAATCTCTGCCTCTCGCACCCAACGTAAACGGCTAAGTAGCCCTCCGGCACATCTGAAGGGGGGGGATCTGGACACTCGTCATCCGATTCTACGTCGAATTGTCCTGATCGAGATAAGGAGGATCGTTTCCGTAAACTACCTCCAGACCTCGGAGAAGCCTCGTCGGAGCTGAGATTCTGGTATTGGTCGTTAGGGTTAACGATTCGGCTTTGAAACCTACGCACAGCGCGTTGCATCTTCTCTGACACTTTGCCTTTCGACATTGTCGGCTTAAGGAGCGAGCCAATTCGTGACAAGAGCAACAATAACTTGCTGCAAGGTACAATTAGACCAGCAAGTTCGTGAATCCGAGTAGCAGAACGGGAGGCAGCTACTCCAGGAACTACAGCATCGACATCTACATTCGGCCAATGTGATCCTGCTCCGCGAACAGCTCACTCACATGAACCGCCATCTCCTCGACAACTTACAACCCGATTGTTGCAAGCTGAGAAGCAACCAGTGCTGGAGATGAACGAGAGTTCAACTTCGCCAAACGCCTTCAAGACGCGAGAAACTACAGCGTGGATAACTTTCGGGATCGCAGCGTCAAGAAGAGGAGGTGATAGAAGGTTGAGAACATTGTTGGAGGATTACCGATAGCTTCCATGAGAGTGAGAAACATCACTTCGCAAAAAGCGTGAAGGATAAGGGAAGCCTTGTCATGATCCCCGGCGCCTGATAAGCTTAAGCCTGCTTGTAATTGTAAAAGCTCATAAAAGATGATAATCACATTGTCTCTGCTGGTTTGTGCTCGTGTTACAGCACAAGACGCAACAGAGACAACACCCAACGTCAGTCCGAATACAGAACTAAGGAGTCTGAAAAATATAGGAGATAATTGGAACGACGTAGCATCATGCACGCTTAAAATAGAAGCACCCTAAGGTCACCAGTCACGCAGTAGCACTATCTCCAAACACTTTTACCGAAACCAACACATAATCATCCCACTTCAGCACTCGACGAAGACAAGCTGAGAGGGACACTGGCACAAACGCCACACGCTACGTATCAGACAGGCGTCGACCGTCCAAAACTTTATGGACAAGACAGCGTAAGAGGCAATGCGATGATGCCCTCTCGCAAACGAAGCTGACTAAACTCGTTCTCTAAGATCAATCATCTCTTGATGCCACCAAAAAGAAAGGAAATTGCAGACCCCAAAATATAGTGAAAAACACCACCTCTCGGAACACAACCCCCTCCCAAAGGAAGTCTCGAAGAGACAGACACGAACACAGTTACATAATCGCGTCCCCGTTCCAACTGCAAACCAACAAAAAACAAAATAACCAACCTCCCCCACAAACCTACCACAGTACTTCTCGATCACCGTAATCCTACCAGTCCCCAATATCTCCCAAACTCCCACTTCCAAAAGCAAACTCTCGCCGATCAATCCGGTCACCGAAAACAGAAAACCGTAACCGGAACCGCCGTGTAAAAACTATCCATCCACAAGTGGTGGCGAAAAGGTCGATCTCAACCACCTAAAGGAGCTGAATGAAACGAGAGACTGAGAACCCAGCAGCCTGAGCATGAAACAACTGCTGGCAAGTGTGCGAGCCAGAGGCGAGCAATAACACGAGGATGGGTGGACGGAAAAGAGTTCGGAGTAAGATTCGCAGCGGCGTTCTTTACGGGACGAGCATGCCTGCTGTGCCAGAGCAGGAGACGCTGGGCCGTTGGATCCATCGTCGAAGCGCCTTCACCGTCACTGCCTGGTCCTACACTAGCTGTAGCTCCAGTGCTACTAGTGGTAGCTGATAGGTTGCCCAGGCATCTTGAGAGTCTTCACAGTCTGCTTCAAAAGAAGTTAGTGGGACCTGCTGGTGTCCAACAAGCATCTTGCCTGGGAACCATTTGTCAGTGCGGGTCCCTGAGGAGCTCCAACACGGTATCGTCGCCATAGCCACTAGCTACTGCCAGGGTCTTCTCATATGGATTTGGATAATTGCTGGGCTTGCGTCTTGTCGCGTGAGTCTGCTTACATGTGTATGGTATGTCCGAATTCAATAATCTCTATAAATGCAGCTCATTGTCACGATGCCAAGGGCTGTATGTTTGAATTAGTGAGCGTGTACCCCTTCAACGCTGCCTATTTCAAGCTTCTTGCGCTTGCAACCATTGGACCATGTGCAGCGCGCGCTGCAACTGCTTGTGGTGATAATTCAAGCTGTTCCCCCCTTTTTAAGAGATTCGATAGTTTGTTGAGTCTTGGCGTGCTCACTAGATTCACCATATCTAAATGTGGCGCACAATAACAAAAAAGAAAAGAAAAAAGCGTGCAGCTAAAGCAACGACTGGGACGGGGGATCATTCATGGAATAATCTTGTCAATATCACCGAAAGAGACTGCAGTGCATGTTAAAACATCTAATCTTGCATCAGGAAGACGAGAACGAAACGTTTCTCAATTAAGCGTTGTTGTGATTCTATCATTCATTTGTTCAAAGCGTCTGAGAGGGGTGCAAAAATCAGAAATTAATGTTGCAACGTGCTCCTTGCGGAACGGACCGTGTTCAATTCAGTAGGCCGATCCGCCAGTGTCGGCCGACCAAAGAGCTGTGCTCAATCACATTTGTGGCCGCACATTTATAAAATACCCATAAATAAATCACCCATTCATAAATATACTTCAGACTCTGAAACAGAATCCCACTGACAACTAGTCTGACTCCTCTGTCGTCGTCGTTTGGAAGCACGCTCGGTCAGAGTGGATTGTTAAAAGCTCTCGTCGGGACTACCCGACGTCTCCAGCTGCGACAGCAACTTCTCGAAGATCGCAGCTTCGCAATCAATTCGCAAACCGCCCTTGGTTTCAAACCCGTACTCTTCTTCACTTCTCCTCAGCAGTTCTCGAAACACTCGTGTGTAGAGAAAGCTTGCTTGGATGACAAACCTGCGCATCTCCGTGCCGACGTAGACGGCCAAGCAGCCTGAGGGAACGACTTTCGGTGCATCCTCTTCCCAGTAATCACGATTGGAGATGATTCCGCTCTCACTTGATCGGCTGGATCCACGACTTGACGACAATGTGAAAGATGTCGGTCTTCCAGAGCACTGCTTCAAGCTGCGGAGACTCCTATCCAACGCTTCTGAACCGTGCTTTGGTTCAACCCACATGTACTTCTGCACCAATCTTCCGCATATCTTCCAGGTTGTCATTGTGATTGGATCACGAAGGTGAAGTGGCAGACCAGAAGGCAGCAAGTAATGGTTGCGGTGACACAACCATCTAGTCAAACACTTCTTTTCTCACAGCCCTTGCCCCAAGACGAAGATACTGCGACAAATTGAGTTTGTTCGTCATCAACCCCTCTTCAGACAAAGATGAAGCTCTTTTAAACAGGGAATGGTCTGTGCTGTCCCAAAACAATTTGCAATTCGCGAAAATTAGAAGTAAAAGATGTATTCTCACTACCTGCCGCGAGAGTGGCTGGAAATGTCACAGATCAAGAGAAGACTACAGACCGTTCGACGAAGATTGCAAGTTAATGCACCAATACTGTCGGGACACTAACCAAGCTCTACAGCGGCGCCGCAATGCACACAAGGATAATTGAAAAATATGATTTCACAACGTTTAGGCGCAGACTAAACACATGGGTTGCTGAAGGAAAGCAAAACGTTCTAGTTGGGCACTTCGACTGAACCGATTGCTCAGTTCGCGCAACCTCACGAAATGAAGAACTCGAGGAACTCGATAAACGTAGGACGCACCGCAAGCATAGCATCACTCCCCACACACGCCACAAATACCATCAGGCTGCAAAGCTCCCGAGAGCAGGCTCCAGGAAACAAGCAAGTCTGTAAAAACTAGGGCGGATTCAGTCATGCACATGACGATGTGGACCGCGCATTTATATCCTAAGATTAGTGATCGTCACCTAACCAGTGATCAGGGCCCTTCTTCTTGTACTGCAAACCTTCAACAGCGCTCTCACTGCGCGCACTGTCCACTGGACGTGGTGAAAGGTGGCTTGTCTCTTGAATAGCAACTTCTATTGTACTGTGCACACTGTGACGTGTGGTTTTGTTTCCTTCTTTTGCCGTTGTGAGTGTGCTGGGTGAATTTGTTCGGACGACGAGACAAGTGACGAAGAAACGGAACAGCAGGCTTACGCAAACTGGACAATCTTGCACTAAGTCCAGGCTGATTTCCTCCCGCACTGCTACACTGTCACTACGACTCCACGTCGGTGCGGCAGCAGACAAGAGCTGGATTAGTAACGCCTTCAGATGCACTTCCACTCCACTTAACTTCACTCTGTCAGCTTCGACTCCTCCCCCCGCCCCTTCTCTCTCCATGAAATGCAGTGCGTCAGATCTCTTCCATCGCCTTGGAATATCCACTTTTTGTTCACCAGACATGCGTTGCACTTTTTCACTCTCGGCAGGAGGATGTCTAATTTCTCATGAATTCTCCAGCTCTCTAGCTGCGTCCTGATCTACTTGCTATAATCTGGTGATGTCATGGGAGTCATTTTGCATCCTACTAATTGAGAAGTTTAGAGGGAAATGTTCGCAAAACAATTGTGGGCAGTAGATGAGGAATAAGAGAAAGGTTATTGAATGGATAACTGATGCACTTTGTGGAAATTGAATTGGTTTTAGGAAAGAATTTTTTTCATGGGTTATTGATTTTGAAATTTGGGACAAGATTAGAGACAACTTTGTGTGGCTCTGTGTGCCTTAGTTGATATTCTTTAGAAATTATGTTCTATCTTTTTTCCTTGAGTTTAGCAAGTTATATTCTTTGAGAGAATTTATGTTGGCACTACATCAATGGTTTCTTGTTTCTCTAAAAAATTTCTATCCACCAATTCTTCTTTTGAGATACTCCCAAAAATATGGCCGAATCCACATTTGGAAAACTATGATTATTGTAGCACCTCAAAGTTTGATTCTTGAAAGGATTGGCTTTTGTCTTTGAATAAGAGATGTTAAAGTTTTTAAAAATTTACTTATGACATTAGGTGTTTATATTATAGTTTATCAAAAAAAAAAAAAAAAAAAAAAAAAAACAACAACAACAACAACAACAACAACAAAAATTGTATGATTCTTTTAGTATGCTTTCTATAATTTTTTGTTACATTTTAATAAAGAGCATCAATAGTTATTAAATTTTGGGTACATGGATTGGATCACATATTTTGGTGATAAGTATATTTTTCTAGATAAAAAAATTGATTAATGTCTCATAAAACATGTATAAAAATTGATATTATTTTTATTTACACTATTTAATTTTAAGTCTTGTGTTTGTAGTCAAATATCAATTCAATATAAATCCACTTCATAGCATCTCACCTATTTTTTGATGATATATTCAAATATATATTTATATAGATGTGTGCTAATCTTACAATAAAGATTAATTTTTCCTAACTATGATTGCATCTCCTCCTCTTTGTACTAGCATAGTTTGGTATCAACATTTGAGTTAATTTTAGTCTATTAGTCAATCATTTATAATATAAAGCTAATAAAAATTAATAAAATACTATCAAATCATTCATGAATTATTATTTTTATTTATTTTAATTTTATTTAATTAAAAATATGTAAAAAAATATATTTTTTGTCTAAATAAGAAATTATTGTAAAAAATCTAATAAAATAACCTATACAGTTCATAAATCTTGGATGATTGAGATCTTTGAAGAAAAATTAATACATTCTAATATATTTTAATATTTTAAGTAAATTATAAAAGTAATATCTAATGTGCTAATAGAATTAAAGTTTTATAGTAATAGAAAAAAATATCAAAAAATAATTTAAATGTTAGTTTTTATTTTTATTATTAAAATCACTAATATTTTTGAAATAAAATTAAATTTCTTTTAAAAGTATTCAAGTGAAATTTATAAATATATTTACAAATACATATATATATATATATATATATATATATATACTTTCAAGTTGCAAGTTCAATAGCATTAATATCTAAATCTGTACTTTAAATTGGTTTTTTACAAATTGCATGTCAATTTATTTATTAACTAATAATCAATTCCAAAAGAAGCTTTTACCGTACTCATTTGTACAAAGATATTTTCAATGATATAAAAATATCTTTATAAAAAAACATTAAAATTTTAAAGAAAATATAATAAAAGTTTTTATATAAATAAAGGACCTATAAAAAAAGAATATGTTGAATAATTTGAATAATATACATAAAAATAGAATAAATCATATAAATATTATTTGGAATGTATGAATCAATGAATAATTCTAAAATATCTCTAGCAATTAAGTGGTACTATTGAAGTATGAAATTTTAGAAGAAATAGAAATGATTTTGGCTTATCATAATAAAATTTATAGAACTTTAAAAAAATACATATATAAAAGTTCTCAACTAAGATCCTTATCAATGTATGAAGCAATGTGATTTATCCTACAAATAAATCAATAATTATAGATTCATTATTAATTTAAAATAAATATCCACTAACTTTCTTACATTTCTTTTAACAACTCATTATTTCTATATTTAAAAAAAATATATAAAAATACAAGCAAATATTTACATAGACTGACTAATATTCAAAAATTAAACAAACCAATGTATTAGTTTATCACCTTTCTTTTCTTATAAAAAATAAATTCTTTTATATCACCATATCTCTTATATTGAAAAAAAAAATTATAAGTTTGGAGGTTGAGGTATTATATTTTTTAAAATGAGAATTTTACAATGGATTTATAGAAAGAGTAGCAAAAAAAGAATGTTGCATGTATTTAATGGGAGGTATGATAAGAATCCAAGGATCACATTAAACCTTAAAATTATATTATTACAAACACAAATATTCATTTGGATAAAAAGTACTAAATAGAAAGTAAATGTAGGTAGATTTAATATTATCTTATGGAAAAGCTTTTTAGAAGCTTCATAGATGCATATTTGACTTTATACATATTTATAATTGATTGATAGGTTAGAAACTTGGCCAACAAATTTGCCATGTATTGTACATATAGAAAGCTTATAACAATATAGTGCAAATATAAGAAATTTGCTTTGCAAGTTAAAACACTTATCTTCCAAAATTCGACATGTGTTGAAAGCCTTGTAGGATGTTGTTATATAGCTCCTAGTTGGATAGTATATATGGAGGCAAGAATGAAACCTTCTTCATTCTAACCAATGCCTTTCTAGTTCTTAATCTTATTTTAAGACTTTTTAGTTTTTTAATCTTATTTTAAGTCTTAGATAATAGCTATTTTAATTTAATATTATATCATCTTTGAATAATTTTCTAATCTTTTTGAATGACACAAGAGTGTATTGATTTTTTAATTCTTTGAGATTCATATCTTTGATAGTTTGATAAGAGTATTAACTTGTGGTCCATGTTTTGTGTCAAAAGTGAGTGAATTATCCCACTTCTATTGTTGTGTTTTAAAGGTTGTATACTACCCACCATTAAAACTCATTTTTAGTTTTTCAATAGTGATTTCAAACAATGGAATACCTTTGTTTGTAGAAACTATCATTTGATATTAGAGGTTGCAAATTATCTTCCTCTAATTTGACTTATTGATTTGATTGAGTTGACTATAGAAAGAAAAATTATGGATACTATTATTAGAAAAAGTAGGAATAAATTTATAACTATTATAGATTTTTAAAAATTTATTACTATTCAAAAGGTAGAAATCTTAAGTATTTCTAATATCAATCATAGAGATAGGGTTCCAACATCTATGAAAAAAATCAATAATAAAGTTCAAAGTCTATGCCAAAAAGTTGTATAATTAAAAGAAGTAAGTAAATTAAGCTTACAACTAAACCTAAGGAGTTTTGCTACTATAAGTATGAAAGAGGCAAGGATAAGTATGCCCAAGAAGTTTGTTGGAATAACATCAAAATTTTGAAGATTTCTACAATAAATGAAGCTTTATTTAAGGTTGCATCCTTCTCAATATATATATGGATTTATTCAAATTAGATTCATAGGTGCACTTTTCTTTTGAAGTATTTTCTTTTGATTTACACTTTTGATGGAAAACGATTCACTACTTCTTTATAATCTAAATTCATTCTTAGAAATGGTTATGGGTACTTTTAGAGAAAGTGATTGAGAAAAGATAGTACAGAATAAACTTATATCTTTACAACAAGAATCATATTTAACTACTATATATGTTGTAAAATTCCAAAATATCACTTGTAATGTAGATTGGAATAAAAAATTGCTTATCAATCAATTTTGATATGAGTTAAAAGATAATATCAAAGATTTACTATTAACAATAATAAGAATATGTTGATGAAAAAAATTTATTAATCAAGCCATTATATATAATAATCAATTTTTTAAAAGATGCTAAGAATAAAAACTTGATTAAAGAGGTATAAATTAAGCTATGGCAATAGCTTCTAAATTAATATAAGCTTATTCAGCAAAACAAGAATATATGCAAATTAATATAATATGTTTTAAGCCTCTTATTGAGCAAAAAAAAACTTCATGCCATTTAGAAAAATTATGCTTATATTTAGAGAACCTAACCACATTTTTTAATATTAATTAAAGAAGTAACACAACCAAAAACTAAGAAGTATTATTGCCGAAGAGGATAATATATCAAAAAACAAGTTTTTCCAATTACAATAGGTATTATGCCGCTAAAATCTTGTATAATACCTAGTAAAGGTCCTATTTGTTTTTTAGATACTTCACCTTGTTTTATGATAGAAGTTTATTTTAGACTAAAAGATCACAAAAGCTTATTTTTATTAGATTCAAAAGCCTCAACTTGTTTTGTAGATAAAGATTTTTTTAAAAAACAAGAAATATCCTTAGTGAAGAAAATCAAACTTGTACATGTAGAAGTCATAGATGGTCATTTGTTATCTTCTAGAGATATTATCCATGAAACACTTTCTTTAAATATACCAACTAAAGATTATAATAGTTTAGTAATATTTAATGTCATTAGATTTTTTTTTAATTCACTTATTTTAGAATTATTATGATTAGAGAAGTATAACCTTCAAATAGATTAGATTTCTTATAACCTTAATTTTTCTTATAGTTTAGTCTAAGATTTTGCTAATCAAATAAAAATCTATAAGTCTCATATGACCAAACTCTTATTCATAGGTGTAAGAACTTTTATGCATGCTATAAAAAAAAAGACCAACTTTTGTTATATACAACATCTATTTTTGATAGAGAAAAGACTTCAAGTGGCATTTCAAGCTAGTATCAAGATAATCGAGATATTTTTGAAAAGAAGAATATCGATATTCTTTCAAAGCATCATCTATATAATTATTCTATTGATCTCCAAGAAAGTACTTAATCACTATTTAGACCAATCTATGGCTTATTGTAAAATAAATTAGTTGTACTCAAGGA